AACTGTCAAAACCAACTCTTACACTAGGTATTGCGTTTTGGAAAAAGAACCGATGATCAGTGGCAACAGAGGAGGTAATGTGCGCAGAAATTTAGGGTTGACACTGGAAAATTAGTGCAGGTAGATAGTCTAACTCTAATTTCTTTACATTACTGGTTAGAGAATCTGCGGTGGAGCTGGTGGTGATATATTGGTGGGGGGCCGGTATGGGGTCTCTGAAGTTCTGGAAATATTTGAGGTTGGACTTTTTTGAGGGGCTTGTGAAGCTGGTGATAAATCTGGAGGATCACTTGCAACGGAGTAGGAGGTGGTTGAGATGGTGACGAATATGGGGAGTTACAGACTGTGAGTGATGTGTACTGGCAATAGTGGAGTATTTTTAAGAAAGAAATTAACAGAGGAATTCCTAGAGAGATTGCTTCTTGATAGCGATGGTCAAGAATATACATATCAAAATGGAATGGTTGGTAGCTTTTCACTTTCCTGTGGAGTTGGGTTTTCTTGGGGTACAATGCTGTTGACTTCTAAATTTAGAGATTTATCACCGCCTCTGGGAGTATAGAAATTTGGTCGAAGTCTTGACAAATATTTGTTTGGAATATCAGTGAGACCTTTTAGTTCTTGCTTGTCCCCTTGTAGATACAGCCGTCTCAATATTATGATTCTTTCAATCTGCAAACATATTATTCATTTTCCACTTAACCAAGCGCTCGAGGGATTGGCGCTTGAATGTAGAAGGTTCCTCATTTCTTTTCTGCTTCTTTTTGTTTGTGTCTCTCGAGGCTTATTCCTCTTTGATCGGATGCTAATCGATGTAATTGTATTGAACACTTAATCGCGTACTTTAGTTGGTTGATATTTAATTTATGCCGTCTGTTGAGGCTTATTCCTCCAGAACTTGATCAGTTTCTTTTTCTGATTTACAGATCAAGCTAGGGACAATGGATCAAGATGAAGCTCAAAATGAATGGGTCATCAGGCCATACATGAACACAACCAAGAAACGGATGTTTCTTGGAGATTGACAGGACGGCCCCTAGCCTTTATTTTCTCACCCAAAATCGACTGTTAAGAATTAATATGTTTCTCCTTATACTCGTTTTATTTATATTCCATTTTTCTGTAAGAAATATGAATGGAAGAACTTCTCGAGTCGAGTAGAACTTTTTGTACACACACATAATTGACATGGGAGCAAAATATTATTCCTTCTTCGTTGGAGAATCTTAAGTTTGAATATGAATGCATTTACATACTATTAAGTCATTTGTTTTCGTGCCATATTGAAGTGTCATTTTCCTTATAAATTGGACAGCTACTATGCAAATGGACATTTCCAACAAAGACCAAATTTTACATGCGACTTGCCATTAAAAAAGAGGAGGAAATTACATAAAATTAGGTATATTCAAATTCAAAACTAGGGGATGAAGTTTACTTATGCAAAAAACTGGTACTATATATAATTAACCCATCCAATTCAATTAAAGCCCTAATCATTTTTGCCAAATTCTTCCTTTATCATATCCCATCTCTCTCTTTATCTCTCTACCTTATCCTTCGACTATCATCGCTGTCAAGGAGTGATCGCCATCGGAGACACCTCCAACTTCGAGTGTCGACACGTGACCATCAAAATTCAGGTCATTTTTAAATTGTAATGATATATTTTCACTCTAACTCTCCATCTTCTCTTCATCTTTCTGTTCGTATCTTCCTCGCGATGCAGATTTATCCACTTAGGCGAGTTTTTGTTGTGAAATGAATTGGCTATGGTGGTTGTTGAATTTGGTGGTAGTGGTGTGATTTTTTGGCATGTTTTGTTGCGTTTTTGAGGTGGTGGTGGCGGATTTGTGGATTCTTTGATGGGGTGGTGGTTAGGTGTGGTGTAAATAGAGATAAAGGTGCGTTGTGCGATGGTAGTGGTGGTGGTGTGCTGTGGGCGGTGCGTTGTGTGATGGTGGTGGCGGTGGCGATGACGGTAACGGGTGGAATATCTGTGATCAATAATTAGGTGTCCGTGACCAACCATTTAGGCGTTTGTGATCAACTATTTAGATGATTTGTGATTAAATATTAAGGGTGTGTTTGATTACATTTATTTTCCATGGAAAATATCAGTTTTCCACCCAAATTCCCACTTGAAGTGTTTGATTGCTATTTTTTTCCATGGAAAACATTTTCCAACTTTTGAAAATATACCTAATTTTCCTTGTTTTTAAGGAAAACATTTTCCTTGGGTAGAGGTGGTTTTTATTTTCCACAAAAGATGGAAAACATTTTCTTTTCTAGGTGATATTTTCCATGTCAATCAAACACACTCTAAGAGTCTGTTTGAGAGTGATTTTGAGAATTGATTTTTTGACCGTTAGGAGAAAAGTGAGGTCCATCTGTGAGAGAAGAAGTCAAATATGACGGCTGGAATAGTGAAATAACGGTCAAAAAATCAATTTTTTGGGTGAAAAAATCGGGCCCAAACAGGCTCTAAGTGTCCGACTAAAAAATAATTTGTGACCAATAAATTGAACTTATGTGACCCATAGATAAAATGTGGCCTGTAATTTGAATGATCTGTGACCTACAAAATTTTTGATTTATGACTACGAAATAATCTATGAACAATTAATTTGACGATATGTGACCAGTAAATAAATCTGTGACTATTAATCATGTAACTGTGATTTTATTATCTTTATTTAATAAATATTTTTAATTAATTAAATGCATACCTGATTTTTGACTTTTCAAACTATTTACTTGATATTTAAATTGGGGTAAACATAACCTTTGAGATGTGATTTTTCCTTTAAAAGAGTGTCCTTATATATATATATATATAAAACCAAAAAAAGGAAAAAATTGCTGTCAGAACTAACATATTTTGGTAATGGTTTGAAGCTAATTTGAGAAAAGCTAAAGAAAGTAGAAAATAATTGAGGCAAATTTAGCTCAATGACGAGCTTAGGCAAAATACTGGCATAGTAAATAACATTTTAGTTTTAATATAATTTCAATTATTATATAAAAATAAATTAAAAAAATGTGTGCGTACCTAGAAAATTTATAGAAATTTTATACATATTTTTTAAGTTTCCTACAAAAAACGCAATTCTCTAATCAAGAATACTGCAATTACAGTAATTAAATTTTTACAATTAAATTAAATATGAACATAACTTAAATTTTATCCAACTTTACCGATAACTAATTGAAGCCGCAAAAGATTTGAAACATAAACAAAGCAAAGAAACAAGATGAAGAATGGACGAATACTTTGAATATTATTTCATTAAGAACTTTAGCCCTTGTTTGAGCCTCATGTTTTGGCAAAACATATTTTAGAATAGTGTTTCGTTAGAGAACGTATGATAAAAAGGTAAG